ACCGCTCTCTGTAACCTAGAGGGCAACCAGTGGGGGTCTCTCTCTCTCTCTCTCTCTCTCTCTCTCTCCCCCTCTCTCCCCTCTGTGGTTTGCAAGGGCCCAACTAGGGTTTCACCTCTCAGATTTGGTGTTACCGTGGCAACGGTGATCTCGGTAGGGGGGAGACCAGTAGACCCCCACAGTTCTATCGCCGTGACAATCCAAACCCCCCTTTTCCCCTCTCTAACACACAAACACTTCTCTAAGGGAACAGAACTGTTAAGAACTAAACTAAAGAGCCCAACAAGGAACGGGAGACGGACAATTTGAAATTATATGTGCAAACTTTTCAGTTATAAACACTTAGCAAATCTGTCTGTCCCTCTTTTCTTTGTCAGCGAAATTATATTAGTATTTTAACCAAACATTTTTCATGCCCACATAACTCTTTTGCTGATATTCTTGAGATGAAATTCAACCATTGGAAAATTTGTTTTTATTTTATTTATTTACCTAAATGTGCATGTTTTTTCTCCTGCTATAAACCATCTTGACTTGGATCCCATTATGCCTGGCGAAAACCAAACACATTCCACAGTAAGAACCTTATACCAACGGTCATGCATGGTGGTGGTGGTGGTGTGATGGTTTGGGGATGCTTTGCTGCCTCAGGACCTGGACAACTTGCCTTAATAGAAGGAACCTTGAATTCTGCTCTGTATCAGAGAATTCTACAGGAGAATGTCAGGCCATCCGTCTGTGAGCTGAAGATGAAGCACAGCTGGGTCATGCAGCAAGACAATGACCCAAAAAACGCAATCAAGTCTACATGAAAATGGCTAAAAAGCAACACATTTCTAGTTTTGGAATGGCCTAGTCAAACTCCAGCCCTAATCCCAATTGAGATGTTGTGGCAAGACTTGAAACGTGCAGTTCATGCTAGAATACCCACAGATCATGATTGATGTAATCTAGAATACTAAACACAAGACGAAAATGTTTTGTACCAAAATAGCACCCACCTGTTGTGAATGTCAATATACTGTATATGCATATTTATTTCACAATAGGGGAAAGATAAAAAATTGCGCGATTGACCTAGATATGTGGATTTTTCGTGTCGCCTTTCTTTTGACTAACGAGTTTGTTTACATTATCTAATCAAACATCCACACATTTCTATCCCACGAAGAACCCTTCCTGTAATTAGACCGTTTTCTATGCTCTCTGGTCATGTAGTTGCCGTGTCAGTGCGTTTAATCCCCATCGACATATCAACTTTGATAGACACGTGGGTCAACCCCATGTAACCCCCATCTTTTTGAGACATCGTTTCACATTTTTACCCGACATTAAAGTACAGGAGAAAAGATGGTTTGCACGGGTAATCGTATGAATATTATCAGTTTCTATTTTGACAGCAATCGGTGAAGTGGCAATTAGTTGACAAATAGATGGCCCACTTCTCAAAAACAGACAAATAGATGGCCCACTTCTCAAAAACAGACAAATGACAGAGCTGTATTCCCAGGTGGACGTGGCTTGAACCTTCCTTTCAAGCCCACTTGAATCAACCAAATCAGTCAGTCAGTCAATCAACCAGTCAGTCAGTCAATCAACCAATCATTCAGTCAGTCAGTCAGTCAGTCAGTCAATCAACCAATCAATCAGTCAGTCAGTCAGTCAATCAACCAATCATGTCCACTTGAAGATCCTCCTGATCAGTCTGACCAGTGAGTTCTCCCTGACGGCCTGTGAGGTCCTTTCCCATAGGCTGTCCTCTTTCCACATGCCCCGCCCCTTCCGCTCGGCCTTGACCTCTGCCCTGAGCAGCCGTTGGTGGAGCCGCAGGTAGAGACGGGACTGGGGGTGGAGTCCAGAGACTGGGACGGTGCGTGCCAGACCCAACCTCAACACCTCGTCATTCAGACACAGACTCCTCAGTGACCCCTGGGGGAGAGAGACAGAGGGAGGTTAATAACACTTATCTGTAGGTTTCATTGTCTTCCAACATTCAGTTAATTAATACAGTCATAAAGAGTAACAGTGTCCTGAAGATACCAGAGAGTCAGTAACTAACTAATGTTCCTCCAATCACAGACACAGACAGTAAGGCTGCATTTACACAGGCAGTCCAATTCTGATCTTTTTTACACTAATTGCTCATTTGCAGCCTTACTGACCTGCTAACAGACAAAGACAGTAACTGACCCTGTTAACAGACATAGACAGTAACTGTACCTGTTAACATACACAGACAGTAACTGACCCTGCTAACAGACAGACAGTAACAGACCCTTCTAACAGACAGTAACTGACCCTGCTAACAGACAGACAGTAACTGACCCTGCTAACAGACAGACAGTAACTGACCCTGATAACAGACAGTAACTGACCCTGATAACAGACAGACAGTAACGGACCCTTCTAACAGAAAGCAACTGACCCTGCTAACAGACAGACAGTAACTGACCCTGCTAACAGACAGACAGTAACTGACCCTGCTTAACAGACAGACATACTGACCCTGATAAAACAGACATACTGACCCTGATAACAGACAGTAACTTACCCTGAGTAAAGACATACAAGTAACGGACCCTTCTAACAGAAAGCAACTGACCCTGCTAACAGACAGACAGTAACTGACCCTGCTAACAGACAGACAGTAACGGACCCTTCTAACAGACAGTAACTGACCCTGCTAACAGACAGACATAACTAACCCCTGCTAACAGACATAGAGTAACTGACGCCTGCTAACAACAGACAGTAACTGACCCTGGCTAACAGACATACAGTAACTGACCCTGCTAACAGACAGCAGTAACTGACCCTTCTAACAGACAGACAGTAACTGGACCCTGCTAACAGACAGACAGTAACTGACCCCGCTACAGACTGACAGGTAACTGACCCCTGCTAACAGACAGACAGTTAACCTTGGACCGCTGCTAACAGACAGATAGTAGCAACTGACCTGCTAACAGACAGACATTAACTGACCCTGCTAACAGACAGACAGTAACTGACCCTGCTAACAACAGACAGTAACTGACCCTGCTAACAGACAGACAGTAACTGACCCTGCTAACAGACAGACAGTAAACTGACCCTGCTAACAGACAGACAGTAACTGACCCTTCTAACAGACAGACAGTAACTGACCCTGCTAACAGACAGACAGTAACTGACCCTGCTAACAGACAGACAGTAACTGACCCTGCTAACAGACAGACAGTAACTGACCCTGCTAACAGACAGACAGTAACTGACCCTTCTAACAGACAGACAGTAACTGACCCTGCTAACAGACAGACAGTAACTGAGCCTGCTAACAGACAGACAGTAACTGACCCTTCTAACAGACAGTAACTGACCCTTCTAACAGACAGACAGTAACTGACCCTGCTAACAGACAGACAGTAACTGACCCTGCTAACAGACAGACAGTAACTGACCCTGCTAACAGACAGACAGTAACTGACCCTTCTAACAGACAGTAACTGACCCTGCTAACAGACAGACAGTAACTGACCCTTCTAACAGACAGTAACTGACCCTGCTAACAGACAGACAGTAACTGACCCTTCTAACAGACACCAGACAGTGCAGTGTCTCCTCCTCTCTGCTGACCAGTTTGAGCCACACCGTCTGGGCCGGGCTCAGGTGCTGCTCAAGCCACGCCCTCCCCTCTGGGGTCAGCTCCACCCCCGCCAGGCGCACAGCCAGGGGAAACACACCACCACCACCTGAGGAGAGAAGACCTGCCCAGGTGAGACACACACACAGTACACCTGACCTCTTGACCCCTGTAGAGTGGACCTGGATGTTGAACTATGGCTGTGGTCCACTGCATAAACCTGAAGGTGGCACAGTGAAGATCCTGACCAACTGAAAGAACAAACAGAAAGACAGACTGTTGGAAGATATAGCAGCAGACATGCACTATGGAAAGCTGTCCAACTACAGCAGTAGATATACTGTATTACTAAAGGCACAGGCAAGCGAATACACGCAACAACAAAAAACTGTGGCCAGAGGTCAAGCCTGTGTCGTAAAACAACAGGAACTCAAAGAGACAGAGCTATAGAGAGAGACACTTCTAATCTCTTTAACTCGAGAAGAGCTTAGTAAGAGAATCTCCCTGGCCACGGATGGAGCTGAAAGAGCACTATCTAGTACCCTCAGTTTGACTGCAGGGCAGAACCATAACTTAATACTGCAGCTAGCCTCTTCTCTAACAGGCTTCCTATGCTAACTCAGCCTCTTCTCTAACAGGCTTACTATGCTAACTCAGCCTCTTCTCTAACAGGCTTCCTATGCTAACTCAGCCTCTTCTCTAACAGGCTTCCTATGCTAACTCAGCCTCTTCTCTAACAGGCTTCCTATGCTAACTCAGCCTCTTCTCTAACAGGCTTCCTATGCTAACTCAGCCTCTTCTCTAACAGGCTTCCTATGCTAACTCAGCCTCTTCTCTAACAGGCTTCCTATGCTAACTCAGTCTGATGAAGGGAGCTAAACTACATCTTGTAAATGTGTACGGTCCGGTGCCTCTGAATGCACGTCTCCTGAGTGGCGCAGTGGTCTAAGGCACTGCATCGCAGTGCTAACTGTGCCACTAGATCCTGGTTCGAATCCAGGCTCTGTCGCAGCCGGCCGCGACCGGGAGACTCATGGGCGGCGCACAATTGGCCCAGCGTCGTCCAGGGTAGGGGAGGGAATGGCCGGCAGGGATGTAGCTCAGTTGATAGAGCATGGCGTTTGCAACGCCAGGGTTGTGGGTTCGATTCCCATGGGGGGCCAGTATAAAAAAAAATATGTATTCACTAACTGTAAGTCGCTCTGGATAAGAGCGTCTGCTAAATGACTAAAATGTAAATGTAAATGTAATGCGGGCAGAAGGCATGAAACTCACTCAATTTTTACAAAAAAATGTTGGTCTTAATTAGATAAAGGTGAAAAAGATGTCGTGTTTCAGTCACAATGACCTTCATCAGACATCAAGCCATGATCCAATACCTATCAAATCAAATGAATTGGATTAAAGTAGCATTTACTTTGGTTTTAGGAAAATATAGAAAACTGACTCTACAGGAGAGGCTAACCATTAGGTTGACTACAATACTTCAGCAAATATCAAAGCCAACCTTCCCTTCCACTAAATCCAACAGCATAGTTAAAGAGAGCAGACGGTCTATGGCTGACTCAGATATATTAAAGAGAGCAGCAGACGGTCTATGGCTGACTCAGATATATTAAAGAGAGCAGCAGATGGTCTAAGGTTGACACAGATATGTTAAAGAGAGTAGATGGTCTATGGCTGACACAGTTATGTTAAAGAGAGCAGCAAATGGTCTATGGCTGACATAGTTATGTTAAAGAGAGCAGCAGATGGTCTATGGCTGACACAGATATATTAAAGAGAGCAGCAGATGGTCTATGGCTGACACAGTTATGTTAAAGAGAGCAGCAGATGGTCAATGGCTGACACAGATATGTTAAAGAGAGCAGATGGTCTATGGCTGACACAGTTATGTTAAAGAGAGCAGATGGTCTATGGTTGACACAGTTATGTTAAAGAGAGCAGCAGATGGTCTATGGCTGACACAGATATGTTAAAGAGAGCAGATGGTCTATGGCTGACACAGTTATGTTAAAGAGAGCAGATGGTCTATGGTTGACACAGTTATGTTAAAGAGAGCAGCAGATGGTCTATGGCTGACACAGTTACATTAAAGAGAGCAGCAGATGGTCTATGGCTGACACATATATTTTAAAGAGAGCAGATGGTCTATGGCTGACTCAGGATGTTAAAGAGAGCAGACAGTCTATGGCTGACTCAGTTATGTTAAAGAGTGCAGCAGATGGTCTATGGCTGACTCAGTTATGTTAAAGAGAGCAGCAGATGGTATATGGATGACATAGTTATGTTAAAGAGAGCAGCAGATGGTATATGGCTGACTCCGTTATGTTAAAGAGAGCAGCAGATGGTTTATGGCTGACTCAGTTATGTTAAATAGAGCAGCAGATGGTCTATGGCTGACTCAGTTATGTTAAAGAGAGCAGCAGATGGTATATAGCTGACTCCGATATGTCAAAGAGAGCAGCAGATGGTCTATGGCCGACACACTTATGTTAAAGAGCGCAGCAGGCGGTCTATGGCTGACACAGTTATGTTAAAGAGCACAGCAGATGGTCTATGGCTGACTCCATTATGTTAAAGAGTGCAGCAGATGGTATATGGCTGACACAGATATGTTAAAGAGAGCAGATGGTCTATGGCTGACACAGTTATGTTAAAGAGAGCAGCAAATGGTCTATGGCTGACATAGTTATGTTAAAGAGAGCAGCAGATGGTCTATGGCTGACACAGATATATTAAAGAGAGCAGCAGATGGTCTAAGGTTGACACAGTTATGTTAAAGAGAGCAGCAGATGGTCAATGGCTGACACAGATATGTTAAAGAGAGCAGATGGTATATGGCTGACACAGTTATGTTAAAGAGAGCAGATGGTCTATGGTTGACACAGTTATGTTAAAGAGAGCAGCAGATGGTCTATGGCTGACACAGTTACATTAAAGAGAGCAGCAGATGGTCTATGGCTGACACATATATGTTAAAGAGAGCAGATGGTCTATGGCTGACTCAGATATGTTAAAGAGAGCAGACAGTCTATGGCTGAAACAGTTATGTTAAAGAGAGCAGCAGATGGTATATGGCTGACATAGTTATGTTAAAGAGAGCAGCAGATGGTATATGGCTGACACATTTATGTTAAATAGAGCAGCAGATGGTCTATGGCTGACTCCGTTATGTTAAAGAGAGCAGCAGATGGTTTATGGCTGACTCAGGTATGTTAAAGAGAGCAGCAGATGGTCTGTGGCTGACTCAGTTATGTTAAAGAGAGCAGAAGATGGTCTATGGCTGACTCAGATATGTTAAAGAGAGCAGCAGATGGTATATAGCTGACTCCGATATGTCAAAGAGAGCAGCAGATGGTCTATGGCCGACACACTTATGTTAAAGAGCGCAGCAGGCGGTCTATGGCTGACACAGTTATGTTAAAGAGCGCAGCAGATGGTCTATGGCTGACTCAGTTATGTTAAAGAGAGCAGATGGTCTATGGCTGACACAGTTATGTTAAAGAGAGCAGCAGATGGTCTATGGCTGACACAGATATGTTAAAGAGAGCAGATGGTCTATGGCTGACAAAGTTATGTTAAAGAGAGCAGCAGATGGTCTATGGCTGACTCAGTTATGTTAAAGAGAGCAGATGGTCTATGGCTGACACAGTTATGTTAAAGAGCGCAGCAGGCGGTCTATGGCTGACACAGTTATGTTAAAGAGTACAGAAGATGGTCTATGGCTGACTCAGTTATGTTAAAGAGCGCAGCAGATGGTATATGGCTGACACACTTATGTTAAAGAGCGCAGCAGTTGGTCTATCACACTGTAGAGGCAGGTAGCTTAGTGGGTAAGAGTGTTGTGCCAGTAACCGAAAGGTCGCTGGTTCTAATCCCCGAGCCCACTAGGTGAAAAATCTGTCGATGTGCCCTTGAGCAAGGCACTTAACCCTAATTGCTCCTGTAAGTCGCTCTGGATAACAGCGTCTGCTAAATGACCAATTATGTTATTATTATTAAAGTTGAAGGGGATGTGAACCCATTCATTCTTCCATACGTTAAGCCAGCAGGGGCAGAGGAGAGGGATGTAGATGGGGGTACGTTTAGCCAGCAGTGGGGAGAGGAGAGAGATGTAGATGGAGGTACCTTTAGCCAGCAGGGGGCAGAGGAGAGGGATGTAGGTGGGGGTACCTTTAGTCAGCAGGGGGAGAGGAGAGGGATGTAGGTGGGGGGTACCTTTAGTCAGCAGGGGGAGGAGAGGAGAGGGATTGTAGGTGGGGGTACCTTTAGTCAGCAGGGGGAGAGGAGAGAGATGTAGATGGAGGTATGTTTAGCCAGCAGGGGGGGAGGAGAGAGATGTAGATGGGGGGTACTTTAGCCAGCAGGGGGAGAGGAGAGGGATGTAGATGGGGGTACCTTTAGCCAGCAGGGGGAGAGGAGAGAGATGTAGATGGGGTACCTTTAGCCAGCAGGGGGAGAGGAGAGGGATGTAATGGGGGGTACCTTTTAGCCAGCAGGGGGAGAGGAGAGAGATGTCGATGGGGAGTAGATGGGGGGTACCTTTAGCCAGCAGGGGGGAGAGGAGAGGGATGTAGATGGGGGTACCTTTAGCCAGCAGGGGGCAGAGGAGAGGGATGTAGATGGGGGTACCTTTAGCCAGCAGGGGGGAGAGGAGCGAGATGTAGATGGGGGTACGTTTAGCCAGCAGGGGGGAGAGGAGAGGGATGTAGATGGGGACGTGCTCCACTTCCAGGGCTCTCTCTGTGATGGTCTGGACCCTCCCTCTGAGGCTCACATTGTTCTCTATGAACCGTGCTGGGATCTCAGAGGCTACGCCGAACCTAGTCATCTGACGAGGGTGGTGAGACATGAAAGACCTTGTTAGAAAAGCATTCTTAATGGGAATAACTGTTGTAAGTACAATGTGTTGTAATCAGTTACACTGAACCTTCCTAAGTCACCATGAAATATTGTTTTGGCAACACAGAATTGGAACTGCTACTAGCATTCTATTGGGTAAACAAAACCACAGATCATTCTGAAAAAAAATATAAACGCAATATGCAACAATTTCAACGATTTTACTGAGTTACAGTTCATATAAGGAAATTAGTCAATTAAACGATGGATTTCACATGACTGGACAGGGACAGCTGGTCCAGCCAATCAGAATCCGTTTTTCCCCACAAAAGGGCTTTATTACAGACAGAAATACTCCTGTTTCATCAGCTGTCCGGGTGGCTGGTGACTAAGACGGATTTGGAGGTCCTGGGCTGGCGTGGTTACACATGGTCTGGTGTTCAACCTTCCCAAGTTCTCTCATGTCACCCCGCTCCTCTGCACACTCCAATGGCTTCCAATTGAGGCTCGCATCTACTACAAAACCATGGTGTTTGCCTACGGAGCTGTGAGGGGAACGGCACCTCCTTACCTTCAGGCTCTGATCAGACCCTACACCCAAACGAGGGCACAATGTTCATCCACCTCTGGCCTGCTAACCCCCCTATCTCTACGGAAGCACAGTTCCCGCTCATAAATTGAATGCACCAATTTGTAAGTCGCTCTGGATAAGAGCGTCTGCTAAATGACGTAAATGTAAATGTCTGCTGTTGTGAGGCCGGTTGGACGTACTGCCAAATTCTCTAAAACAACATTGGAGTCGGCTTACGGTAGAGACATGAACATTAAATTATCTTGGCAACAGCTCCGGTGGACATTCCTGCAGTCAGCATGCCAATTGCACACTCCCTCAAAACTTGACACATCTATTGCATTGTGTTGTGTGACAAAACTGCACATTTTAGAGTGGCCTTTTATTGTCCCCAGCACAAGGTGCACCCTGTGTAATGATCACACTGTTTAATCAGCTTCTTGATATGCTACACCTGTCAGGTGGATGGGTTATCTTGGCAAAGGAGAAATGTTCACTAACAGGGATGTAAACAAATTTGTGCACAAAATTAGAGAAATAAGCTTTTTGTGTATATAGAACATTTCTGGGATCTTTTATTTCAGCTCATGAAACATGGGGCCATCACTTTACATGTGTTTATATTTTTGTTCAGTATATTAGCTAAACAAACAACAGATCATTCTATTACCTAAACAAAACAGATCATTCTATTAGCTCAACAAAACGACAGATCATTCTATTAGCTAAACAAAACGACAGATCATTCTATTAGTATTTTTTTAAATAAATGTTTTATTTATTTTTTAGTCATTTAGCAGACGCTCTTATCCAGAGCGACTTACATGAGCAATTAGGGTTAAGTGCCTTGCTCATGGGCACATCGACAGATGTTTCACCTAGTCGCTCCGGGATTAGAACCAGCGACCTTTTGGTTACTGCTAAACAAAACGACAGATCATTCTACTAGCTAAACAAAACGACAGATCATTATATTAGCTAAACAAAACGACCTTTCTAAAGCCAAGGGATGGAAGTTGATGATCTGGTAAGAAGAAAAGGCTGTTAGGCTGACTATCTAAACAACATCAACTTGGATAAACAACACATTAGGCTAACAGCTCATCAACTGCCATCCTAAATTGATCCTGACCTTATAACCTACGCAGAACAGCCATCTGGCATTTCATTGAATAAGGGGGAAGGGCTCATCTCGTCTGGTTAAAACGCCACAATATGTCGATATCGTTAAGAGAATTCCCTTGACATTGGCCAGAGAGAGAATTTAGCCAAAGTCTTCCTTTAACCAGGGTTCGTGTGAAACCCGACTCGCTACCGCCTCCTGGAGGAACATGCCTGCATCACATTTGGCTTTTTATGCATAGGCTAAGCTACTTACCAATTTAATACTCCTTGATATTACTATTACCCCGGCAATTGCTAGTCCAGTACTGATGTTCTAGAGGAGAAAACAAGATATGTTAGCTAAAGATGTTGGAATGTGTTAGCTGGACCTTTAGTACATTTTAACAACAGCTAATCTGCTGTCTCATTTGAACGAAGCGTCTACTTCCTCCCCATCAATGTTTGAATGTGCAATTTGTATCCCAGTCGGTTCTTACCCGGACAAAGGTTAAATGATCGTCAGCGAACTGAGAAATTACAGAAATTATGTTTTTAGAAGGCTTTTCTCCTTTCTCGTCTGTCTCTGCCTCACTCCTGGACTCCGGCATGTTGTTGACATGTCTAAAAGACTACAAAAGTCGCTCCGCCCACTAGGTAGTGAAGGTGGCGTGGACCCAAAACCTCCAGCACCGTCTGGTGTGGCGTTTTCGTAAATGTTTTATTATCTGGTCCTAGAGCTAAATTGAACGTTATGTATCGTGTATATGCATTGCAACAATTAGGCGTGAGATACGTAAAAATATTATTATGATTTCACACACCCACAAAGCATTAAATTTTAATTTAATTTAATTTAATATTTAATTTATATTAACTATTTCATAATGTAAAGTACAGTATGCTATAGGAGTTATCAGACACAAAACCATTTGAAACCACCGAGTGCATATTCATTGTATTACATATATATGTATTTCTATAAATATTTTCTATATTACATCTTGGGAATGTTGGTACAAAAGTTCCTCAGAACATTTCATAGCATAGTGTACAAGTATCTCAGGGTACAGTCCAGAGTTGGGGTAAATCACATTGGAATTTCAGTCAAAAAATACAATGTTTATAATAATAATCCAAAGAGAATGGATTGGAATTGTAGTGTACTTCCCGAACTGACTGGAAATGAAATGGATGGCAACCCTGGTTGGTCACTCTCAGTAGAACATGGCACTTGCAATGCCAGGGTTGTGGGTTCAATTCCAACGGGGGACCAGTACGAACAAATATGAAAATGTATGCACTCATTGCTGTAAATCGTTCTGGATAAGAGCGTCTGTAAAATAACTAAAATGTAAATGTAATGTCTGAGCGTTTCTATTTAAAAAGAGGTAATGTGAACACTGTCCTCAGAGGGGGTAGGGAAAACAACACCAAGCAGGCTTTTAACGTCAGCATTTATAGTGTGTGTTGGGAATCAAAGATTTGTTTGCAGCAGCCCATGACAATTGATTTGTATCCATGGGAAATTCAGTAGCTGAACATTCTTTTAAAAGAATGTTCTGCTGAAATTGTGACAAACCAACATGCAAAAATGGTGCTAAAAATAACCACAAAAAAAAAGAACATTCATTTCATTTAAATATTTGGTAAATCAAACAAATCATAAATATACAAACAGATCCATATGTAAGTGAACGCAGGTAGAGTTGTTTAGGCAATATAAAAAATTAAAATAAACGTTAAAAGTACTGACACAGACATAAAAGGCCATGTACATAGAGCAGCATCACTATCACAAGTTGTAAAATGAACATAAGTTAAAATATGCCATGTTCAAGGCTAACAAAAGTATGTATGCTTTGCATTGGTGTGGAAACTCGGTGTGCGCTTTTTTCCCACCACAAAAGGAGAACCACCTGATGTAGGATCATCTCATTATACCCCAACCCTGACTTTCACCTGAATTTGGACTGGTGGTTAGGGGCAGAAATTAAGGGAGACACACATTCTGAATTATCAGTGTTCCACACATGGATCAATGCAAATTATTTTGTTCAGCCTGATGTGGACTAGAGCAGAGAGCACCAAAACAACTTAAAATAACTATTGAGAATTAACAAACACACAGAAAACAAATATTTTCTATGACAATCCAAACAGAACCGATACAGGTGATCCCAGATCCGGACTTGACTGTTTACTGCCTTCTCCCTTTCACACAACCGATGACCTCTCATTGCTGGTTTAGAGAAAATACTGTTGTATTCAGAAAACATTAAGAAACATGACAGACTGACCATGTGAAAGCTATGATCCCTTCTTGATGTCACTTGTTAAATCCACTTCAAATCAGTGTAGATGAAGGGGAGGAGACAGGTTAAATAAGGATGTTTAAGCCTTGAGACAATTGAGACATAGATTTTGTGTGTGCCATTCAGAGGGTGAATGGGCAAGAAAATATTTAAGTGCCTTTGAACGAGATATGGTAGTAGGTGCCAGGCACACCGGTTTGTGTCAAGAACTGCAACGCTGCTGGGTTTTTCAAGCTCAACAGTTTCACCTTGTAGAGTCTGTTCTGAGGGCAAAAGGGGAGGGGGGTGCAACTCAATATTAGGAATGTGTTCCTAATGTTTTGTACACTCAGTGTATATTAAACAGTACTGTTATAGTTTAGGCATTTCTGTCGAAGGGGCTATTGATTACCATCAAGAATACAGATGTGATTTCTGACTCCATGTTACACAGACACATTTGACCTATTTATCAACTAGGTCTTGGCTTACAGTGAGGGAAAAAAGTATTTGATCCCCTGCTGATTTTGTACGTTTGCCCACTGACAAAGAAATGATCAGTCTATAATTAATGTTCAGTCTATAATTTTAATGGTAGGTTTATTTGAACAGTGAGACAGAATAACAACAAAAAAATCCTGAAAAACACATGTAAAAAATGTTATAAATTGATTTGCATTTTAATGAGGGAAATAAGTATTTGACCCCCTCTCAATCAGAAAGATTTCTGGCTCCCAGGTGTCTTTTATACAAATAACGAGCTGAGCTCTTGAGCACACTCTTAAAGGGAGTGCTCTTAATCTCAGCTTGTTACCTGTATAAAAGACACCTGTGCACAAAAGAAAACAATCAATCAGATTCCAAACTCTCCACCATGGCCAAGACCAAAGAGCTCGCCAAGGATGTCAGGGACAAGATTGTAGACCTACACAAGGCTGGAATGGGCTACCGTCAAATCTTGGGTGAGAACCTCCTTCCCTCAGCCAGGGCATTGTTGTTATTCTGTCTATCACTGTTCAAATAAAACTACCATTAAAATTATAGACTGATCATGTCTTTGTCAGAGGGCAAACATACAAAATCAGCAGGGGATCAAATACTTTTCCCCCCTCACTGTACATCTCAATGTTGATATTTAACCATCCATATTTAATGTGGTTTTTTATGATGTTTTATTATGAATGCCTTTTCATTTTCTGTACCCCCTTTTTCTCTCCAATTTCGATCTTGTCTCATCGCTGCAGCTCCCCAACGGGCTCGGGAGGCGAAGGTCGAGTCATACGTCCTCCGAAACATGACCCGCCAAACCGCACCTCTTAATATTCTTAACACCCGGAAGCCAGCTGCACCAATGTGTCGGAGGAAACAGCGTTCAACTGACGACCCAAGTCAGCCTGCAGGCGCCCAGCCAGCCACAAGGTGTCGCTAGAGCGCAATGAGCCAAGTAAAGCCCCACCGGCCAAACCCTCCCTAACCCGGATGACGCTGGGCCAATTGTGCGCCGCCCTATGGGACTCCCGATCACGGCCGGTTGTGATACAGCCTGGGATCGAACCTGGGTCTGTAGTGACGCCTCTAGCACTGCAATGCAGTGCCTTAGACCGCTGCGCCACTCGGGGGGCCCAATTAATGCCTTTTCAAATATCAGACACAAACTTTATAATCAGAGTCTTTGAAGAACAGAGCAAGGCACAAATAACAGTGACAGAAAGTTAAATAGTTTAAGTAGCAGACAATGTGGATTGAGAAGAAAGCGCAGCTACTTCCTGGAGTAAATGTCTACTGTAAATATTCCTAGCAAGAAGAATAGTTCCTTCTTTTGTTTCCAATGGGAAATGGTTGAAGCGGCAGCCACAGAAGCCATGGCGAGGACGTGGTGTTTGGTGCAAGGAGAAACAAAACCCTTGGCTCTACAAGAGTGTGTGTGGGTATTGACCGTTATGGGTATTGACCGTTAAGGGCAATAGTCTTGTGGTGGCCGCACAACAGTTACAGTTAACTCAAAGAAAGAAAGAGTGCTGAAGGATGATCTATACACTAAGCTGAAAAGGATTGGGAAGAAGGGAGGGGGGGGAAAGAGGGACACTGAGGAGAGAGAAGAAGAGAGAGAGAAGAGGAGAGAGAGGAGAGAGAGAAAAGAGAAAAGAGGAGAGAGAGAAAAGAGGAGAGAACAAGAGGAGATAAGAAGAGAGTAGAGAAAGAGAGGAAAATAGCTGAGAGAGAAAAGATGATGAGAGAATAGAGAGTAGAGAGAAGAGGAGAGAGAGAAGAGGAGAGACACATGAGACAGACAAGATAAATAAAGAGAGTCAGAGGAAGACAGACAAACAGAAATGAGAAAAGAGAGAGAGAGAACAGATGATTTCCAGTGAGGTTCGTGCCAGGGACAGAGGCTGCTGACAGAAGCTTTGATATCAGACTGTAGCAGTCTGGTGATCGGCCTTGCTGGGGTGAGGAAGGGGTTGTGCAGGTCAGGAGCTGGGTGAATGTCATTGGCCGATCCTGCACCTCCACGCTGCAGGGTTCTGGTCCTGTAGCCTTCTCATCCTCTTCCCTAGCCACACCCACCACGCTAGTCCTATCACCACACACACCACCGACTCCACATAGTAACCATCCAACGACGTCACACACAGACCGCCCTCCTTAACACACATCTGTAGGGGGGGGGGGGAGAAGTGTTTCCACAGAATTCACATAATAGCTATTCAATGGACTACGACATTACAATGGGATAACGGTCAGGTAATTCTCTCTCCCACTTACCCCCGTCTCCTCTGGGGAGCCACAATTCTGCCCAGCAGCTCCCTGGCACTCCTTAGAGGTGAGTGGGTCGACCATCCACAGTGCCAGGGTGGAGGGCCAGTTTCCCCCCAGGTTGGTGACAGTGTTCAGCAGGGTCATGTAGGTCCCACCAATCACTGGGTCACTCACTTTAGCATGGAAAGCCATACAGGCCACATACATGCTGTACAGCGCCACCTGTGGGTAAGGAGGGGAAAGGCAGGAATTTGAGAAAATGTAAGTGTATAGTGTCCCAAGCTGGATCAAGTGGATTTATACTGCCTAATTTCACATTGAGAGAGAACAGAGAAAGGGTAACAGAGCGAGCGAGAGAACGGGTGAGAGAGAGAGAGCAGAGAAAGGGTAAGAGAGAGAGACAGAGAAAGGGTAAGAGAGAGAGACAGAGAAAGGGTAAGAGAGAGACAGAGAAAGGGTAAGAGAGGAGAGACAGAAAGGGTAAGAGAGAGAGAGACAGAGAAAGGGTAAAGAGAGAGCAGAGAAAGGGTAAGAGAGAGAGACAGAGAAGGTTTAAGGGGAGAGAAGACATAAAGGGTAAGAGAGAGAGACAGAGAAAGGGTAAGAGAGAGAGAGACAGAGAAAGGGTAAGAGAGAGAGACAGAAAGGGTAAGAGAGAGAGACAAGAAAGGGTAAGAGAGAGACAGAGAAAGGGTAAGAGAGAGAGACAGAAAGGGAAGAGAGAGAGACAGAAAGGGTAGAGAGAGAGACAGAGAAAGGGTAGAGAGAGAGACATAGAAAGGGTAAGAGAGAGAGAGCGAGAAAGGGTAAGAGAGAGAGAGACAGAGAAAGGGTAAAGAGAGAGAGAGACAGAGAAAGGGTGAGAGAGAGACATAGAAAGGGTGAGAGTAGGGGAGACTAGAAAGGGTAAAGAGAGAGAGAGATATAAAGGGTAAGAGAGAGAGACAGAAAGGGTGAGAGAGAGAGACAAAAAAGGGTAGAGAGGAAGCAGAAAGGTGGAGAGAGAGACAGAGAAAGGGTAAGAGAGAGAGACAGAGAAAGGGTGAGAGAGACGAGAAGGTGAGAGAGAGCAAGAAAGGGTAAGAGAGAGAGAGAGACAAGAAAGGGTAGAGAGAGAGAGACAGAAAGGGTAAGAGAGAGAGCAGAGAAAGGGTGAGAGAGAGAGACAGAGAAAGGGTAAGAGAGAGAGAGACAGAAAGGGTAGAGAGAGAGAGACAAGAAAGGGTAAGAGAGAGACTAGAAAGGGTAAGAGGAGAGAGAGACAGAGAAAGGGTAAGAGAGAGACAGAAAAGGGTAGAGAGAGACAGAGAAAGGGAGAGAGGGGAGACAGAGAAGGTAAGAGAGAGAGAGACATAGAAAGGGTAAGAGAGAGAGCAGAGAAAGGGTAAGAGAGAGAGACATAGAATGGTTAAGAGAGAGACTAGAAAGGGTGAAGAGAGAGACAAGAAGGGTTAGAGAGAGAGACAGAGAAAGGGTAGAGAGAGAGACAGAGAATAGGGTAAGAGAGAGAGGACATAGAAAGGGTATGAGAAAGAAGGGTGAGAGAGAGACAGAGAAAGGGTAAGAGAGACAAAAGGTAGAGGAGAGACAGAAAGGTAAGAGAGAGAAGAGACAGTAGAAAAGGTAAAGAGGGAGAGAGAGACATAGAAAGGGTAAAGAGAGAGACAGAGAAGGTAGAGAGAGAGACAGAAAGGTAAGAGAGAGAGAAAGAAGGGTAGAGAGAGAGAACAGAAAAGGGTAAGGAGAGAGACAGAGAAAGGGTAAGAGAGAGAGACAGAGAAAGGGTAAGAGAAGAGAGCAGAGAAAGGGTAAGAGAGAGGAGAGACAGAGAAAGGGTAAGAGAGAGAGGCAGAGAAAGGGTAAGAGAGAGAGACAGAGAAAGGGTAAGAGAGAGAGACAAGAAAGGGTAAGAGAGAGAGAGACAAGAAGGGTAAGAGAGAGAGACAGAAAGGGTAAGAGAGAGAGAGACAAGAAAGGGTAGAGAGAGAAGAGAAGGTAAGAAGAGAGAGAGACAGGAAAGGGTAGAGAAGTAGAGAGAGAAGACAAGAAAGGGTAAGAGAGAAGAGCAAAGGGTAAGAGAGAGAAGTAGACAAGACAGGAAAGAGTAAGAGAGAGCAAAAGGTAATAGAAGAGACAGAGAAAGGTAGAGAGAGAGACAGAGAAGTAAGAGAGAGAGAGAGACATAGAAAGGTAAGAGATAGACGAGAAAGGGTAAGAGAGAGAGATACAGAAAGGGTAAGAGAGAGAGACATAGAAAGGTTAAGAGAGAGAGCAGAGAAAGGGTTAGAGAGATAGCAGAAAGGTAGAGAAGAGAGACAAGTAAAGGGTAAAGAGAGAGAGAGAGACATAGAAAGGGTAAGAGAGAGAGCAGAGAAAGGGTGAAGAGAAGAGAGAGACATAGAAAGGGTAAGAGAGAGAGAGACAGAGAAAGGGTAAGAGAGAGAGCATAAAATGTTAAGAGAGAAGAGAGACATAGAAAGGTAGAGAGAAGAGACAGAGAAAGGGTAAGAGAGAGAGACAGAGAGAAAGGGTAAGAGAGAGAGAGAGAAATAGAAGATAGAGTAAAGGTAAGAGAGAGAGAGACACGAGAAGGGTAATAGAGATAGACAGAGAAATGTGAGAGAGACAGATAAATGTAATAGAGACAGAAAGTAAGATAAACATATAGAGATAGAGAGAGAAAAGGTAAGAGAGTTGTAGAGACAGTAGTTAAAGTTAAGAGAAGAGTAAGAGGTAAGAGAGAGAGACAGAGAAAGGGTAATAGAGACAGAGAGAGAGAACAGAGATGAGATAGATTGAGTGTGAGCAGTGTTACCTGATGCAGTGCGTACTGAACAGTACTATAGCATAGTAGTAGAGAGGGAATCCTCCATCCTGCTTTAAACTGGGAGTCCACCACACCAACAGGGCATACTCCAGACCTATCAACAACCTACACACACAAACACAAATGTACAGGAAGTGTGTGTGTGTCTCTCTCTCTCTGTGTGTGTGTGTGTGTGTGCGCGCGTGTGTGTACCTGAAGGGAAAGGCCTTGTAGAAGACGTCTAGTGGTCGTGGTCCTGCAGTGTATTTACTGATGATGAGTGGTAGTAGTACTTGTAGTGGAACCATTGGGACTGCCAGTAACGCCAGCTGCTCTTTAGGAACACCTGCCTCCACCAGCTTCAGACCCGTCACTGCGTCTGCCGCAGAGAAGCCCATCTGGAGACACACAGACAGACTGCTAAGTCCCACGGGTACGTTTCCAGCGAGTGGGTTAGATACAGCAGGTGAGTTAGGTTAGTTGTCCAGGTTGGTTGGTTAATTAGCGACAGGCTACACAGGATGACCACAGTCGGGGGGCTTGTCTGGCCTGGTTAAGTTACAGGTGCAGTAAGCTATACTGGGTGACATGTATAGATATGTCAGGTAAGTCAGTTGCAGTAAGCTATACTGGGTGACATGTATAGATATGTCAGGTGCAGTAAGCTGTATCGCAGGCACCTTAGCAGTGAGCAGCAGGCTACAGAAGGTGAACACAGCAGGCATCTTGATGATGGACACCAGCATCTTGTATGTTTCCATGACGCTCTGCGTCTCCTCCCGGACCTTCCTATTCCCATGCTGTCCCCTTGCGTTCTCCTTCTTCATAACGGCCACAAGCGTGGTTGACACCAGGAACACCACGCCCCAGAAAAACAGGAAGTCTGCGCCAAGGGAGCCAATCACAGACAACAACGTTACAGAGTGATTACAACAGCAGAGCAATGGGATATGACACAGTGCAATGATGGTCAAGGGTTATTCACCCATCTTCTATAGCATGTTACTGCCTGTTGACTGCCAACACTGTACTGAAAATCATCAGTCAAAAGTTCACTCCAAACCCAGAGTTTATTTTATATCTCACTTTGCTAAATAATGACCAATATCTGCGCTCTGATTGGAGGATTGCCCCCAACATTGCCCACTAGGTGGCACTGCCACTCAAATTTCCCAAGATAATAAAAAGTTGCTTGGCCTCAAAATGTTGCTTGGCCTAAATATCTGATTCATAGATTAAATTGATCTCTGCCTTCTCATCTTTGTCTCTCCCTCCCTCCCTCCCTCCCTCTCTCCATACCTGACAGTGTAACGATGCCAGTCTCTCCCTCCCTCCCTCTCTCCATACCTGACAGTGTAACGATGCCAGTCTCTCCCTCCCTCCCTCTCTCCATACCTGACAGTGTAACGATGCCAGTCTCTCCCTCCCTCCCTCTCTCCATACCTGACAGTGTAACGATGCCAGTCTCTCCCTCCCTCCCTCTCTCCATACCTGACAGTGTAACGATGCCAGTCTCTCCCTCCCTCCCTCTCTCTCTCCCTCTCTCCATACCTGACAGTGTAACGATGCCAGTCTCTCCCTCCCTCCCTCTCTCCATACCTGACAGTGTAACGATGCCAGTCTCTCCCTCCCTCCCTCTCTCTCTCCCTCTCTCCATACCTGACAGTGTAACGATGCCAGTCTCTCCCTCCCTCCCTCTCTCCATACCTGACAGTGTAACGATGCCAGTCTCTCCCTCCCTCCCTCCCTCTCTCCATACCTGACAGTGTAACGATGCCAGTCTCTCCCTCCCTCCCTCTCTCCATACCTGACAGTGTAACGATGCCTTTTGGTGCCTGTTGTTTATTATATGGTGATTGTCTTGTATAGATTAGGGATTGATTGTTTTATATATTAAGGGTATGTGAGACAAGGGAGTACATGTCCATAGTTGTTCATTAGGAAAGGAAATTGTACTAATTATCTCATGTTATGAAACAAACAGAAAAATGTGTCTGTCATTGTCTGTTGCCATTACAATTACCGCCCAACCTTGTTGCATTCCCCGTTCCCCGTTCCCCGTTCCCCCTTCCCCCTTCCCCCTTCCCTCTTCAAAAGGACCACAATGGAAATAAGCTATTAAGCTTTATTGTGTTATCCGATTTTCTTAAATTGTATGTGGAGGCTTCACCGGCTGGAGCACCCTTATGTATGTATTTTACAAATTGTCAAATATATTCAATCAATCAATCAGTCTCTCCCTTCCTCCCTCCCTCCCTCCCTCCCTCCGTACCTGACAGTGTAACGATGCCAGTCTCTCCCCCCCCCCTCCGTACCTGACAGTGTAACGATGCCAGTCTCTCCCTCCCTCCCTCCCTACCTGACAGTGTAACGATGCCAGTCTCTCCCTCCCTCCCTCCCTCCGTACCTGACAGTGTAACGATGCCAGTCTCTCCCTCCCTACCTGACAGTGTAACGATGCCAGTCTCTCCCTCCCTACCTGACAGTGTAACGATGCCAGTCTCTTCAGGCTCTGCTCTCAGGTATTTGTTGCAGAAGTCAGCTGACTCCAGGGCCAGGAAGAGCACGTTGCCTAGGAAGTAGCCAGCAGTCTGTCCCACAGAGTTACAGGTGGAGGCGTAGCCCACGTTCTCCCGAGACAGCATAGTCAGAGCCCAGCCATCCACTGCTATGTCCTGGGATCAGGGATGGGAAAATAACAGAGTTATATATCACCATAACTTGGAGTGTGTGTTTGTGTGTGTGTGTGTGTGTTACCTGGGTGGCTGCCAGAAAGGCCAGCATGAAGAACACTGCAGTCAGGGTTACCACATCGGGGCCCCGCCCCTCGTCACTTTTCAGCAGCGTATCCACGGTAACCGACAGGTACAGCATGAAGAGACCCAGCAGGTACTGGGTGGGAACCAGCCACGACTTCCTGAGAGGGAGACATGAGATAAGGCTTTGACTCATTTGACTGCAACAGTCAAAACATCAGACACAATATAATACATAAAGTAAACATATCAGCCTTATAAATAATTGTCTTACCGGCGTCCAAACCTGGTCAGGTAGAGCGCGTCGACCAGAGGGGCCCACAGCAGCTTGAGACTGAAGGGCCAGAAGACAAAGCTGAAGAAGGCCTGGTCCTTGTAGCTGACATTCTTACTCTGCAGAATGAGAGGGATGCTCCCAGCCAGGCCCAGAGGGATGCCCTGGAGGACATAAAGGAAGAGCAGCAGAGACACGTTCCCCAGCTCCTCTCTGATCCCAGGCCGCACACTTTCATGTCCGTTGTTCTCCGTGTCGGATCCTTGGAGCAGGGCTTCCCCCTCCTCTTCCAGGTCAGGGGTGGTGTTGAGAACCCTATTCTCGTCCCTCATGTCTCCCTGGGGGACAGCAGGCTTCCTCTGCCGCCCGTTCCTATGTGTGACTGAGTCAGATAGCTCCATTGTGCAGCTGCGGGCATCAAACCAGCTGTGCCCTCTGTAAACCTGGAGAGGAAGGATGCAGGCAGGGGTTAGTCCATTTCTAGTAGGAAAATATCCGCCTTGTTCTATCCCTCACTTTGTGTTTTTAGATGGGTTACTCTAGGCCAAGGGTACGCAACTCTTACGCTATGAGGTCAGGAGCCTGCTGGTTTTCTGTTCTACATGATAATTAATTGCACCCATTTGGTGTCCCAGGTCTAAACCAGTCCCTGATTAGAAGGGAACGATGAAAAAATGCAGTGGAACTGGCTTCGGGGTCCAGAGTTGAGTTTGAGGGCTCTAGGCCACACTTTTCTGAGGTTGGTTTCCTTTGTCAAAGCAATGTAGAACTACAAACAAGTGAATTCCTGGTCTGGATGAGACCCTAGTTAGCATCTCCAGCTAGCACAGTAATGCTCAGCTTCTGCATAAACAAGGTTGCTAGCTAGAAGTCTTAATCCAGACCAATAGGAGAGAGAAGGTTGCTAGCTAGAAGTCTTAATCCAGACCAATAGGAGAGAGAAGGTTGCTAGCTAGAAGTCTTAATCCAGACCAATAGGAGAGAGAAGGTTGCTAGCTAGAAGTCTTAATCCAGACCAATAGGAGAGAGAAGGTTGCTAGTTAGAAGTCTTAATCCAGACCAATAGGAGAGAGAAGGTTGCTAGCTAGAAGTCTTAATCCAGACCAATAGGAGAGAGAAGGTTGCTAGTTAGAAGTCTTAATCCAGACCAATAGGAGAGAGAAGGTTGCTAGTTAGAAGTCTTAATCCAGACCAATAGGAGAGAGAAGGTTGCTAGTTAGAAGTCTTAATCCATGGGAGAGAAGGCAGCCCAAGCAGGCACCTGCAACCTCCTGACGTGGGTCGGAACCAAAACAACGCAGTGCCATGACACATTGATACGTTAAAAAAAGAAACTCTCCAGGAAATCTTATCTAACACACAGCAAAATAGTATTCAGTTTGCTAAGAAAAACAAAAAGGCAACGTGAATTCAATAAATATTGGTTAAAGGGGTAATTGAAGATCAAACATGAATTTGACAACGAATGAGAGATGACAATATAGCGAGCTAGTTAAGCATGTTATCATAACGTTGTAGGAAATATTTGACGTTACCTTGTGTTGTCATGCGACACCACATCCCAAACCAAACAATGAATGAATGTGTCGATCACTATCATTCAAACAATGGATTGTAGTTGATTCGACAGCGAACGTTGCCTTGAACTTTGTATGAATTGCATTTAATACGGTCAAAAACACAGAAATAGCTACCTATTTTGCCTTCACCTGGTTACATCGATAGATTGTTTTGCAGAGGGCGAGGAAGTATAGCTATGTGTGTAACGTCGACATGTGTCCGTGTGCTTCAGCTGACGTGTCAAAATGCTGTTAATTAAAGTTCCGCTTGGAACTGCGTACACATTATTATGCTTTTCATGTATGCCTTTCATGTGGTTCAGTATGCCCTCTTGTCACTCAGCCCAGTAATGGACTTAATGAGCCAAACGTTACTCCTTATAGTCCAAGGACCTTGCATGTTTTATTTAAAGGCGAATTGGCTATGGAAGCCAAAACAGCCAAATACTCCATCTAAACGTGAATAGATTCACATTTGTGGTATGGTTCAAGAAACATAAATCCCTGTAATTTCATATCACATCAAAATAATTTCACAAATGCAAAATACACACTTACTGTACACTGTTTTAACCGGTTTTAACACAGTTGCAGCCGACAATTTAACCTTTTGTTTTTAGAAAATTATTTATCGCTGACATGAAAGATAAGAAGGTCCTTATGCTTCCAAAACCGTATTGCAAGGGATACGTGTTGATGCTCAGACTGATCGTTGGCGCTCTTAACAAAACTCCCAGCACAGAAGACGCCTTCGTCCAATGACTCGTATGTGTAATGTAATGGAACTGAGAGTCATGATCAAAGGTCACTCACTACAGTTGCAAATGTTAATCTTTAATAAAAAATAATTAATAAATATACATATAGATATACAGTACCAGTCAAAAGTTTGGACACACCTACTCATTCAAGGGTTTTTCTTTATTTGTACTAGTTTCTACATTGTGGAATAATAGTGAAGACATCAAAACTATGAAATAACACATATGGAATCATGTAGTAACCAAAAAAGTGTTAAACAAATCAAAATATATTTTATCAAATAGCCACCCTTTGCCTTGATGATAGCTTTGCACACTCTGGAGTTCTATTTTATACCTTCAGGTCAGTCTCACATAGTTGCATTCATCAGGAGCAGATTGGAGTTCTATTTTATACCAGGCCTTCAGGCAGGCCAGTCTCACATAGTTGCATTTATCAGGAGCAGACAGGATGTACAAGAAGTCCTGTGATTTCTCTCAACTTAAAGCTGACAGTCTGCGCTTGAACCTCATACATTTGGAGAATAGAGTCAAAAGAAAAAATGCTTCACTGTCCCAATAATTAAGGAGGCACTGCATTGAATCTAATAGCTAATCTCTTTTAACTTTTTGTTACATATTATATAGCTATGAGTTATAGATTGTGACAAATAATAATTAGAGGGCAATGGATTTATAACTTTTTTTAAACATTTCAGTCATTTAGCAGACACTCTTATCCAGAGCGACTTACAGTTAGTGAGTGCATACATTTTTCATTCTGGCCACCCGTGGGAATCGAACCCACAACCCTGGCGTTGCAAGCGCCATGCTCTACCAACTGAGCTACAGGAGGACAATGCACATTTTTAAGTGACCACACTCTCAATCCTACACTGAAATGTGATAACACTGCCACGTACAACTGCCACGTACAACAAGTCAACTCTCCTAAATGATGTGCTCTCTCTCTCTCTCACACACACACACACACACACACACACACAACATTTATGCCTATTACTTAATGTAATCAAATCAAATCAAATGTTATTTGTCACATGCGCCGAATACAACAGGTGAAATACAACCTTACCGTGAAATGCTTACTTACAAGCCCTTAACCAGCAATGCAGTTTTAAGAAAATAGAGTTAAGAAAATGTTGATTAATTGTTCAGCAGTCTTATGGCTTGGGGTTAGAAGCTGTTAAGGAGCCTTTTGGACCTAGACTTGGCGCTCCGGTACCGCTTGCCGTGTGGCAGCAGAGAGAACAGTCTGTGACTTGGGTGACTGGAGTCTTTGACAATTTTTTGGGCCTTCCTCTGACACCGCCTAGGATATAGGTCCTGGATGGCAGGGAGCTTGGCCCCTAGTGATGTACTGGGCCGTACACACTACCCTATGTAGTGCCTTACGGTCGGATGCCGAGCAGTTGCCATACCAGGCTGTGATGCAACCGGTCAGGATGCTCTCGATGGTGCAGCTGTATAGCTTTTTGAGGATCTGGGGACCCATGCCATATCTTTTCAGTCTTCTGAGGGGGGAAAGGCGTCACATAATGAACCTGGCATTGAACACATGGTAAGATCTCACCAAGGATTTCATCACATCTCCATGTTCCATTGATCTCACATTATAAGTCACTAGTAGGAACACTGATCATTTGACAGGATACAAATGATGTACTTCCACACACAATCCCCGGGACCACCCATACACAAAAACATGTATGCACGCATGACTGTAAGTCGCTTTGGATAAAAGCGTCTGCTAAATGGCATATTATTATTATTAATATTGTACAATAGTAGATTATTATAAAAAAAGAAATTGGAAAATGTACTAACTGATTTACTCTCAGCTGGTTTGCGGCAATACTCATAGGCCTACTGCTTGATATTTCCACAAAAATTAATCTAGTCACTGTTTTCCCCAATTTGCTTAGAAATGTGACATTTAAGGTGAGTTTTGTTTTTCTAAGGGGGAACAGCACCTTTCAAAATTGACTGACGTGCATCCTCTAGTGGTAATTTGGTATAACTACAGTTTCAAGAGAAACCTGACATCCACTGACACTGTGGGATCATCTTATCACCAGATAAGTTTTCTCCCTGTCTCTCTCATACTGTGATAATTAACCATGTGAAATATTATCCACAGCAGTACTTTTGGCCCGTTTACCATTGTGCATTTATGCATCACTTTCCCATAGACAGGGCAGGGTTGGTAGAGGAATAGAATGAGAGAGATTGTGTGTGGCTGGAACAAGCCTTTACTTTAACCTGGTGCTGATTTCTCTCACAATATGGAGCCTATATCCTAGGGTACAGTATTTATACAGTATTCCTCAGAACAAACCTCTGCACTCCACTGATTGTTGGAAACAGTTTAATTTCATACGGGGCCCAGTTTAATTCAAGCAGGACATTTTCTAAATTTGATATAATTTGTCAGTTTGTGAATGGATCTGTTACTTATCTTTGTATGCTAAGAGTGGCAGTGTCAAGGTGAGGTGTTCAGATGGAGGGGAAACCCTGTTTTCTTAAACAGACTTTTGAGGGGTAACTGATCCTCCTTTGACCTATATCACCCAGGTGCTACCAACTCACCCAACCTAAAACAAGAGGTACGTTGTGAGGGGCCCCCTCTCATAGTATTATAAGTAAATGCCATGTAAAGCATCCATCGTGTCAACCAAGGTGAGTCTCCATTCTGTGTCTAAGGTAATGAATGACTGCACGCTCCTCTATGCCACAGTTATGAGGGCCATGTGAAACTGGTTAATGTCGTGTGACCAGGCAAGGCAAACGAGGATAAAGCATGTGACACTGCGTTAGCTAACCCCATACACAAGAAGTCACTGTTTCAGATAGAAAGGGGGATGAGGGTTTGGGGTGGATTGCTAGGCCTCAAACTTGAATTTACAGTCCACTATATGGGTATTTATTTGACATTACATTATAACTACATAATAATAACCTTTTTATTTATCTTCTAATTTCCCCATCTTGCCCTGATCTAGTGGTACTCATTTCTACAGTATTTTTCTGACAATTTGCCATTTAGAATGGATCATTTCCCCCTCAAGCCCCCTTTCACTCTCTCAGCATTTGATACATGAGAGAGATGTTGTCAGAAATAAACC